TCTCTCTCTCTTCAGCTGTTGAGCTGGAAGACGGCGTTCCTTGTGGCGGTAACGTCCGGCAGACGGGTAGGCGACATTCATGCTATGTCAACCGATCCCGAACTAACTGTCTGCCACCGGGGACAGAGTCAGTATTCGACTACTGGACTCTTACCGTCCTAAGGTCGCACACGCCTTCCACGTGACGGCTTCTATTGAGCTACCTGCTCTTTCACAGCCTTCCTCGTCAGGGACCACTGCAAGACATGCTCATGTCTTGGATGTCCGCAGGACCCTCAAGGCCTATATCAGCAGAACTAAGGGTATCCGTAAGGATAACCAACTATTTTGCTGTTACGGAGGTAGGAAGGCTGGCTCACCTGCGAGCAAACAATCTATCTCGAGGTGGATAGTTTCAACCATTTGTACAGCGTATACGCTTACAGGCAGGGACCCCCCTACCAGGTTGAAGGCTCATTCGGTTAGAGCAGTGGCTACGTCACAAGAGTGTACGCTCTGCTCATTAAGGAGATCTGCTCTGCGGCTATTTGGAGCCAGCCGAGCCAAACATCAAACATTACCAACTCGACAAACACTCAAGAGAGCGTGCTCAGTTTGGTCAGTCAGTTCTCCGAACTGGGCAAAGTTCTAATCTCTAGTCAATTGAGCCTTCAAGATTTTAGACTGTCCTCTGGTTATACTGCTCAGTAATGGTGGTCCAGATTTTATCTTCTGCGGTCGATAAAAATCAGTCCTTACTACTCGATAATACTCGTATTTGCACACGCACTCCTTCGATACTCGGGGTCCCTCTGGCCTAGCTCAGCGTGGGTTTTTGTCTCTCGTGATCTACGCCCCTATATTACTTGTTCAAAAAAGTGAGGGGGGGTGTAGGGGTTCGAGTTCTCAACTTATGACAAGCCGCAAAAACAGGCTTTATCATAATATATGGTCGACCACGCCCTGTCCCTAGCCCCCACCTTTCGACGGTGGTGCTTCACGATGAGGTTGGTTCCATTTATTGAACTATATATTTTATTCTGTTGAATAATCAAATACGATGTATTTATTTATGCCTCTTGCTGACGGATGCCCCTTCCTATATTATCTTTAGGAATCTATCTTGATGCAATAGGTGCCCCAAGGAGGATCTAATTTGAAAGAATTTTACAAACCTGTACAGGTTATGAATTCTCTGATGAAATCCTCCTTGGGGCACGGCCACCCACCTCCCCACATTCCGTCAGCATTAGACATATGGAAAGTGATTTGGGTGAGAGTTGCTCCCCCTTGCGTGACGCGCCATGGAGGGTGAGGCCCCGTAAGGGTGGTCGTATATCATACAAAAACAAAGTTTTTTGTGTGGTAACATTTTTTATTAAGGAAAATGGTTACAACTATGTCATGTAGATTTTCTTGAGCAAGGAAAATGCAATAGGTGCCCCAAGGAGGATTTCATCAGAGAATTCATAACCTCTACAGGTTTGTAAAATTTACCATATTGTGACTTGTTTTTACTAATAACTCAACTTGTGAGAGGCTATAATTGAAAAAGTAATAATAATTCAAGCCTACTATGTATAAACTATCACATAAATGATAAAATAAGGACTCAATGCATGCACTACCTTTTGTTTGACTTTTTTTTTATTTTCTCATTTTTTACAACTGAAAAGTGCTTTCTGACACAAAAACAGTATCTGCCACCAAAACATTTGACCACAACCATCATTTTCTTGTCTATTCGATACAAAAACATAAGAGAGATCTAAATTTGTTTTGTTCTACTATGGGGAGGGGTATGTCAGCAGTTTGAGGGTTTGGCCACTACTCTATAAAGGCTATTTGGTGCCGGAAGCTGAGGCCATGGCACATCGTCCCTCCACCAGGGGGTTATACAATAACAAGTGGTGATCATTTGTAAGGCAAAGAATCAAGATCCCACGACAGCCTCACCTCAATTCTTAGCCGAGTACCTCCTACACTTGTGTACCAAACGACACTTGAAAGGCAGCACTATTACTACATATTTGGTAGTGCTTAATTCAGAGTTTGCTGTATCAGAGAATCACAATATGACCAAGGTTCAAGAACTACAGGCCCTCCTATGCTCTTTCAGGCTGGAGGATCAGAAGGCCAAAATCTGTCCCTGCTGCTTGGCACTTCGAGGATTGCGCTGGCCCCACCTTGGAGTTCCTCAATGCATCATCCTTTTTTCAACCTCACCAAGAAAAAAAATTCTCTTGGCTTTAGCCACTGCAGCACACATTAGTGACTTACATGCACTCGACATCACCCATGTCCTCTTTGAGCATGGTACGCAGGGAGCGGTTCACATCAGGCTGTGATGGGATTTCATACCGAAGAATCAGCTACCAGGACAACCCGATCGGTCTTTCACCATTCTACCAATCTCTATGATTGTGGGGTGGGCGAAGATGAGGGTGAACTCCTCCAAATTTTCATCCGCTGCTCCAAAACTAGCAGTGGCACGAGGAAACGGTTGTTCATTCCTGTATCCTAGACATCCACGACCAAAGTCAGTCACAACACCATATCAGTATGGTTACACGCAGTCGTCTTGCAGGCTTTTGAGATCACTAACCTCGGTCCTCCGAGAGGGAATAATCCTCATGAGATCAGAGCGGTTACCTCAACCCTGGCTGTACATAGCAACTTTCCTATTTGAGCAATCATGGAAGGATGTTTGGGGGAGGTCAGACACCAGCCATTATCTTCAAGATGTGGCACTTGAAGATGTCAAAGGTGTCCGTAGCTTTGGCCCTCTCGTAGTAGCCCAGCAGGTAACCAATCCCTAACGCAAATAATGAACATCCTCTGTCATGTCCGGAGCCAGTCTTACCAGACTTGTGCGGTGTTTATTTGACATGACCATGGGATTTTTCCAAGCTTTTAAGCTTTGGCTTGGTGACGCAGTTAAGATTTTAGCTTATGCCAATTTCTTTTTACTGTTTGTTCACATGGCCTTATCCTCAATTTTCGTTTGATTGAACGAGTCTTACTGTCTGGCTTTTTGTTTTTGCTATACTGTTCCCTTGACACACATGTCGTTTGAAGGGATTATATATATCTTGAGGTTTAAAATCTGAAGGTATACCCACCACAGATGCATTAGAAGTAATGCAGGATAAGTAAAACATTTTAGTAAAATCTAAATATTTTTTACATTTGTATACTTATCCTGTGTTACTACGTCTAAGGGCCCACCCGTTGCAGACTTGCCTGACATTTTTTAGCATGGATGAAGAGCAGCAATGTGATCAGATATGATGTCACCACGGAAGGTCACATGACTGCAGTGATGAGTCCTAGTAAAAGTAGATTGAAGAAGGAAAAATATTTTTTTCTTCACCTAGGACTAACGCGAAGATCTGTTTTCTTTGTCGTAAGGTAAGCAGTAGATGTTTTAAGGAGTAATACAGGATAAGTATACAAATGTAAGAAATATATCGCGTTTACTAATAGTGTCATGTATTCGAGTGTATGAATTGCGTGTCCTACCTCTAGTGACCCACATTTTGAGAGGCATGTGACAAAATTGAATAATTAACATTAAAAAATGTAGCCCTAATTATGAATAGATCCAGTGTTCTGCTCAGGCAGAGGCTGTGATTGTTGCAGTGATTTATTGATTGGTGCATAATGCTTAATCTCAGTGGGTCATCATGCGCATTCATGTTGATAGTTTGATTTATATAACTATGGGGATCACTGACTGTCTCAAATGTATTTTATATCACTGGCACAGCTGTTCAGTTATTGAATGTAAACTTCCTGTTTTTCGTTGCCTTATGTGTCTCACTTTACTATCAGCGCCTTTCACTTGTTGCTAGTTCAAATGGTCCTACTAAATCGAGCTTACACATTTTACAAATATAGTAGTCATATGGGCAATTTTTAAAGGTTCTTTCCTGTAACTAATAAACCATGACCAAAAAGGAAAATCAGCTGAAAAAAGTTCAGAGAAAAAAGACTTATAAAATTTGAATCATCACAGCCTAAGTTGTCTTCATATGATGCCCAAAATGCATCTGTTAGGAATTACCCTGGTATTACAGAATTGCCAACCACAAGTCATGTCAGCAATACACACAATGTTTCGTATGGCAAAAACTTTCAATCAATCTGGCTTCCCAATTACACATGGTTGCAGCATAACTCAGAAGAAATACTGGGACATGCCAGCTTTGTATAATTTATGTGAAGTCATATTCAATGACAACTAAATTCTAAATTTTTGAACTTGAAGAGACTTGTTAACGGCAGTGATGAAAAACAAATTGTTGAGACTACTGACATTGGACATTGTTGCTACAATATATAACGTTACATCTGAGAAAGATGCCATGTAAAACATTTTGTGTATCGCTGATATTACTTACCTAGTGGATGGGATGGGGGGGGGGGGGGGTGGTTGGCATGGGTAGCCCAGTTGTCTAAAGATCCTGGTTTGTCGTGATTAAGTTTCTTGGTTTGTCAGCACCATAACCATGTTTGTGGGTTTCACCAAGGTGGCAAAAATCTGACATCTGCGTCACTTTGGGCTTTCCTCCCATATTAAACTGAAACACAGTGATATTACTGGAATACTGTTCAAAGCAGCGCCAAACCCAACTCAAAATGACCACGTATTTTCTTGTTGAAAGGGTCACTGTCCCAATTGTTCAATTAGTATACACTCAGTTGAATGATAATAGTGAATGTTTTTGGTGCACCATGTCCACCCACTAAAACATAAAGGAAGATCATATATAAAGTATATGTACAAGTGGGAATACGAAATAATGAAGTGTGAAGAGAATGGAAGGAGGCTCATTGATGGCAGCAGCCGAGAGAGAAGTGCTCCATAGGCAAAAGTTCTGTGACAATTGGATTTAAGCATGGGCACTGTTAGCAGTTGTTGATAATAAGATTAAAGATTTCAATAGGTTTAACATTCTTATTTTGTAACTATAAAGAAGCAGTTATTTAACAGTATATGTAAAATTCATTGTTCACAGTATTCTGCATGGACTGCAAGTTGAATTTTGATGATAATGCCTCATACCGCCAAAAGGACATTTTCTCTCTCCGTGACTGGAGCCAGGAGGATGACAGAGACCAACGGGCAGCTGAAGCAGATCTCAATTACATCGGGTTGGATGGCAGCATCGGTTGTCTTGGTATGTTTGTAGGCTTAATAGACGTGTAGAGGCACTGCAAGGACTGATAGAGATCACAATGAACTGCTACATCAAGTGTATTGGTATGTCTGTAGATCATTGATAGACATGTGTAGCAGAGGACTGACAGAGATTGCAATGAACTGCTACATCAAGTGTATTGGTATGTCTGTAGATCATTGATAGACATGTGTAGTAGAGGACTGACAGAAATCGCTATGAACTGCAACATCAAGTGTATTGGTATGTCTGTAGGTCATTGATAGACATGTGTAGTAGAGGACTGAAAGAAATCGCTATGAACTGCAATGTCGGGTGTATTGGTATGTCTGTAGATCATTGATAGACATGTGTAGTAGAGGACTGACAGAAATCGCTATGAACTGCAACATCAGGTGGATTGGTATGTCTGTAGATCATTGATAGACATATGTAGTAGAGGACTGACAGAAATCGCTATGAACTGCAATGTCGGGTGTATTGGTATGTCTGTAGATCATTGATAGACATGTGTAGCGGAGGACTGACTGAGATCGCTATGAACTGCAATGTCGGGTGTATTGGTATGTCTGTAGATAGTTGATAGTCATGCGCAGCAGAGGACTGTCAGAGATCTTTTTCCTTGTGAAAATGTTATTTTTAACTAATCCCTCCACAACAGTTTGTAAAATTCCTTCTTGCTTCGATCATATGACTGTAGAAAATTGTGAAAACAATAATCACTGGAACACATCCTCCTACCACCACGCTCCCAACATGTTCCTGTACTTCTCATCACTTTTCCTTCATGGCCCGTAGTGAATGGATGTGTTTGCTTCCACTCCCTATTTGGGATTGGATTTGTGTGTCATTTCGGTTTGAATTGAATATCTTACTATATACATTTATCTATGGGTCCCAAGCGTTCCTTATCAATAAATATGTGACATTTACGTCTACTTACCCTCCGACAGGTTTCTTTTCCCGCCAGACTTCAAACTCCTCTAGTAGGCCTGCGACTGTCACCTCCACCACATCAGCAACACATACAGGCTCATCATCAGCTGGATCCGACCTGGGGGCTACCTCACCTGGTTCATCAGCTCTCACAAGGTCATCACCCCTCCTGTCTGTTTGCTACGGAACTTGTCCGACGGGTACTGCGATGGTGCCTCTCATAACTACTTGTGGCGCTTCGGCTGTGACCTCTCCCAGCCTACTGTCATCTTCCACTGATGCCTATTGGCAAACCCAACCTCATGTTCCATTGTGTCAGTCGACCTGGAACCTTCAGACCCCTCATCAGACAAAGGCAGCTTCTCAGACGTATTTAACTGTGCTATCCAGTTGCCGCCTTCCTTTCCGGCTCCTCTCCCGGATCCTCATGTGGTGCAGGCGCTTCCTCAAGCATTTCTCCAAGCTACGGGCATCGTATCCATAGGCTCCACTTTCTCAGGCATCGCATTCACAGGCGCAACTACAGGGTTATCAGCCTTGGATGTTCGGTACGCCACCATTGCCTCCTCAGGCGCCACCTGTTCCCTCTTGATCTCAGGCTCAGCTGTCACAGACTCTGCCTTAGTTATCCTCACCTTGGGTCAGCTCACCCCTGTTGAACTCTCCTCAGGATGTCAGTTCGGTATGACATTTACCACTCTTGTCCCCTCAGGGTACTCCCATACATCCCTCACACCTCATCAGGCGTCTCGGGTTGATTGTGCCTTGGACTCGGCATTCAAGATCCTGTTCGTCGTCTCCTAACAGGGTTTCCAAGCTTGTGCATTCTTCACCGAGGGGCTCCTTTTGTGTTTTGATGGCTAGTGTTGCTACATCTAATGGTTAGGAGCAGCCACTCTTCGCTTCTAAGGATCGGATACTGTGGATCATGGAACGTAGGTATCATACTGATACTTTCCTTTGACAGCTGTCTTTTCTGCATTCTTGTTTGCAATCTCATAAGCCTCCTGCATACATGATTTCCACTTTTCCACATACTTTCTTGGATCACTCTTTCCTTCTCCTCTATCCAGACCAAACATAAGGTCTACTGGCAATCTAGGCGATCTGCCAAGTAGGAGATAGAATGGGGAGTAGCCGGTGGAATGGTGGCAGGTGCAGTTGTAGGCATGTACTACTTTATTCACATGATTTTTCCAGTTGCTCTTCATTTCTTGAGGTAGTGTCCAAAGCATTCCTAACAATGTTCATACCCCTGAGGATGATGTGGAGTGATGCGTGACCAAGTCATTCTACAGTATTTCTGAATATGATGAAACAGTTATTTTCAAATTCTTTGCCTTGGTCATGGTGCAGTTTCTGTGGAAAGCCAAAACGTAGTACAAAGTAGTTGAATATTTTCTCAGCTGCAGTTTTTCCAGATTTATTCCATGTAGGGTAAGTTTAAACAAATCTTGTAAAATGGTCAGATATTACCAACATGTATTCAAATCCACCCAAACTTTTTTCAAGATGTACAAAATCTATGGATACCATTTCAAATGGAGGTGTTGTCGTGATTGGTACCAGTGGGGCTCTTTGCATGATAGCCGGTGGTTTGTCTTTTAAACGACTGCACTCCTTAGTCACATATGTCTCCACATCATGCAGCATGAATAGCCAGTAAAATCTCTCTCTAACAAGATCAGTCACTCTTTCTGTCCCTAGATGACCCATGTCATTGTGGAGTTCTTTCAACACCAATGATATTCTGTACACTTTTGGCAACACTATCTGAATTCTTTCTTGTAGACAAAAGATTGAACTTTTGTGACACAGTATACCTTCCCTGTTAAAGAACAATTTGCTGAATTCTCTGAATAAACAGTTGAGCTCAGGTTTCTCTTTGTCAAGTACCAAATCATGCACCTTTCTCCTACTCTCTTTCCATTGCAGTAGTTGTAGGATCGGGTAGATAGCTTGATCATTTTTCTGAGCTTGTCGAATGTCTCTTGGCGTGAAATGCTGGAAAGATCTAGAATTGTCAGTTGGTAGATCAAGTTCTGTCAGGCCACTGCAATTGTCTGTGATTGCAGATATCCATACTATCTCATTAGAATCTCTTGCCTGAACTGTCTGAATGGAGGCTCCTATAATGTTATGACTTACTTCTTCTGTACAATGTGACATTTATTCATGAAAGTCTAGTGACATCCTACTTTGTCCATCAGCGTCGCTGTTCTGTTTCTCAGGCATGTACTTTATGGTGAATTTGTAGTCTGCTAGTTCAGCTGCCCATCTATGTTTTGTTCCATCAAGTTTGGCTTTTGTGAGTACCTATGTTAGGGGATTGTTGTCGCTGTAGACGGTAAAGTTTAGTGCATATTAGAGACAATCACGGAATTGCTCAGTGAAAGCCCATGATTTAAGAGCTAAGAACTCTAATTTCAATACTGTTTGGATCCTACACTAACTTCCCCACCACTGGTCGTCCTTCCTCACAACACTCCTGACAGCGGTTCTGGAAAGATTGAGGTCAACTCTTATCAGACTACTGGGTTATTCCGACTCTTTGTTACGGGTGCCAGTTAACCTCAATTGCACAACCGCCTCTCACGCTATGGCCCCTTCAACTACCGTACTTAGATGTGCATTTGGAGCCCTTACAGGACAACATTTGGGTCCATTTGGACAAGGGGCCTTTGGAGCTCCTGTCTCCAAAAGGTCTTACTCCGGGATTTCACAGCCGCATCTTCCTGGTGCCGAAGAAAAATTTGTTAAAGCTTGTCGGATAAGAAATAATTTACATGAATTTGTATATTCTTGATATTAGTATACTCACCCTGACACAACAAGTATTTTGGCCTGCCCATCTGTCCCCAGTCTGGATATCAAGCTGATTGCTGATGAGAAGATAGTGAGGGAATAGTGACTGATAACTCAGGTAGAAGAATCCTGTTTGGGTTCTGTGTTATATGATCAAAGTGAACAAGGAAATTGCAATGTGTTATGTCAGGATAAGTATGAATATCCAAATTCCTGTAATTTGGACCAGACAGTCGAGTTATTGATATTGTGTGCAACTTTCGACACCATCAGAGTGCAAGGACATGCTATCAACCCTCTGTCGGGAGGATATAGTGGGGAAGTAATTCAAAGCCACAGTCTGCAACTGCCGTCAATGCCACTTGTGACATGTGACCAGAGCTTTACCTCCAAAGCTTCTCTCAACTGAAAGTTCTATTGATAGTCATTCATGATTATCCCTTTACTCCATAACTTTGGCAACTGATGCTACCTGCTTGTACTTCTGTGGTAGGGGTGAGGCCAAATGTTTCCAAGGCTTGTTCTGAAGTTTGACACTGGAGCAAAGTGATGGATCCAGGTCTCATCCTGGGTTACAATATGCATTTATTAAACTCGTCAAAAGTTCAGTCGGTGATCTTCTGATCTGGTATCAACATAGTGGGTAGCCATCTTGTGGACAGCTTGCTCTTGTAGAGTACTGTACTGACCCAAGACTAATCCCAATAGTGTCAGCTTCGGTCAGACAGAACTTTGTGTCTGTAACTTGGTGTTGTGTCTTTAAGAGATGACATTCTTAATACACATGTTGAAACCTCACATATTCACAAAACAATAGCTATGAGGCCACACACTTTTCAATTTACCCTGGTAGGCTTTATTCAATAAGAGATACAGAGGTACTAATGAGACAACAGACATATAGGCTCTAGAAGATGGATAAGTGATTTAGAATGTAGTTGACAGGGAATCCAGCAGTATAGTAGGTTGCTGATTTGTGAGGGACAGGACTGTTTGATAAGAACTTGTCATGAAAATATTTTCAGCTATAAAGCAATGTCTTGTTTGGCAGTGAATGGTGCTGGTCTGGCCATGGCCACAATGGATATCATCAAGTTGCATGGAGGCACTCCAGCCAACTTCCTTGATGTCGGTGGTGGTGCCACCTCACAGCAGGTGACGGAAGCATTTAGACTCATCACATCAGACCCAAAGGTAAGGGTTAACACAAACTTTTGATCTGGTTTTATTTTCAAGGTATTTGGCATGGTTGACCCTCTGTGCTATTTCTTATAAGTGTTTGATTTAAAGATGTTCATTCTCTATTATCAACATATTCATTATTGGAACTATATGGGGCTAAAAAAAATATATTCTTGGTTCTCAGGCACCGCCGCATGATCATAAAGTCCGCTTCACGTTTCGTTTTTATTTCCATTTTCAACATTTTTAAAGAAAAAATCCTTAAATGTTCCGCATCTCGAACACACGACCTCAACTGTGAAATGCTACAATACTTAAAAACAATGCGATCCAATATAACATGCAGTTACTTCCCTTTCCATGCGCACTGCTTTACTGCGCATTTCGTGAGTTATGGTCATGGCGGCAATAGGAGTTTGTGTGCTTGCTTTGCTGTTTGCAAATTTGGCCAATAAAAAAATTAAATTTTGGATACAACCTCACTAGACATGATGATGGTATTCAAATACAAATTCAATGATATTTGTGTACTGTATGAGGGACAATGTTTCATACGCAGAGGTTATTTGTCTCATAAAATAAGTGGGTAATCAATGCTAATTTATATACCCCGGCTATAAAGCGAATCGGAATAAAGCACATCACTAGTACATACAAAACTCTACGTTTGCAATAAAAATGTGTTTGTCTTCCGCAGAAATCTTTTTTACATCATAGCCCTTCAGCGAATTCAGGGAAACGGAACAGATTATGTCAGTTAAACTTAATCATCACTAAACATAATGATTAGCTGATTAAATTGTATTTCCTGTTCTGATTGGCATTGTTTTATATGCAGAGATTAAGATTATCGTGCGTCTTGTCTCGTAAACCAAGCCAGAAGTAGCATTCAGCTGTACACACTTTTCTCGGATAATATAACTTTAAAGAATTTTGATACAATGAGCGGAAGAATTGTATCTGAAACTATTATTTTATCAGGAATTATTTATTCCAATATCATGTGTAGTTGCAGCTTTACTGTATATATATGAAAGAAATTAATAACCATAAGCGTAGCACTTTGGTTCATTTGATTGCCATTGCCGGAAATGTTTTCGAATGGAAGAATTTGATCAATCACCGTCCATGCGCCGACGATTGCGAAAACTTAATGTTGACATATAATAGTCAAACTACAACAAGTATGACTGACTGCGAGTCAAAGTATGGTATTTACGATATGTATATCCATTCTCTATCCACTTAAGTTCATTTCAAGGCGTCAATAGCTGTAACATGACCGTGGTTGCTGTAAATAACTGTGAGTTCTGCGATCTTCCGATCACTTCACATATGATTTTGCCGAAATGAATTGAAACAATATTGAATGAAATGTTGAATAAAATTAATAAAGTAGATTACCAACAGTCCAGATATATTATGAACTCTTTCTACAACCAGACAGTGTAATTACATGATTAATTTGAGTATTTCAGTACGGATTGTTGACATGGTATTTCCGGTGTTCCGTGCCAAGTAATGTCTTTGTGTTGCAGAAATACCCCATGAAATACTCAACCCTGTGTATAATACGACAATTTTATTATAGAAGAGTATTCCAAACTTGATGCATTCTGTTTTTCTTCTTGGCAGGTTCATGCGATTTTGGTGAATATTTTTGGTGGTATCATGAGATGTGATATAATTGCTCAGGGCATTGTAGCAGCTGCAGCAGAACTACAACTGAAAATACCAATAGTTGTCAGATTACAAGGTGAGAGTCTCACGGTGTAAGTTTCATATAATTCTTCCCTGGGGAGACTTATTCCAACATTTGAAATCTTAAATTCTTTCCTTGTGACAGACCTGTATTAACAGTTATATCAATAAAAAGATTAAGAAAAAACATAATGGCAGTAGCAGTGAATTTCTAGGGCATGATCTTAGCATAACTCATTATTGGCACCAGTGGCAATTATGAGTTATGTCCCATCTATGTCTCTCCTACTGACCGCTCGTCACGCCGAAGACCCGGGTTCGATTCCCGACATGGGTACAATGTGTGGAATATTGCTAAAAGCGGCGTAAAACCATATTCACTCACTCACTCACTCTCCTACTGACCCATCAGATTCCACCTCTCATATCACTTGCATTTGCTTCAAACAAAAAGGCAGCACCCAGTCAAGATTGTCTGATTGAAATCAAAATCTATGTTGTAATAAAATGGGTCTGACTTCGCGAATTGCATCTAATCACGTGCACACTTTGATTAAAAGCATGAAAAGACTTGGATAATATCTGTTGAGGCCATGTTGGCGGTTCACGTGCTTTGCAAATCGGAAATCTGCACGTCAGTTTACGAACTAGATGTCGATTTCACTATGCAATTTGGATTGGACAATGCATAAGCCAAATATACTCCATAATTCCAGCCTAGTTTGGCAAGGGTGGAAACTGGACTTTTATAGACAGTTAACACCCTTGCCTTGGGAAGATGTGGTAAATGGGGAATCAGTCTTTTTGTTTGGGCTAGGGCTGAATGAGCAGCCCTGGGAAGTCGGCCATAACCCCCTACTCCAGCCATGGACACTCCTATCAGTGTGTAATTCTTAATCTTGCACAGCTTTGGAGAAACTTACCAAGAGGCTCTTTGTCTCGAGGTAACAGATCTGGTAGAAGAGGCAGCTATAGAGATAGTGCCTCAAGGAAGGGAAGAAAACAGGTTTTATTAAACTTGCTTTCTGGTCATCAAAAAGTCAAAAGCCGGTGAACATGTCACAAATACCCACCTTTGAAATAAAGACATTGACTGATTGTCTTCCAAAATGTCCAAAGATTTCCTTAAAATAGGGTTATGATATAGAAGAATGTCTTATCAAAAGTGGAGAAATCATGAAAACATTATAATGCCATGTGTGTCACTGGAAGTGCCTTCAATTTGGCAAACACTTCCTAGTTTTTAAAGCTCATTTGAATGTACTTTTTACCATAATGGGGTTTAAGATTTATTAAACACATCAAAATTGAAAGTTTTAGCTTTTAGGTCATACAAAACCAAATGTTTTCCCATAGACTTCTGTAGTAGTGTTATAAATTTAAAAAAAATTAACTAAGCATTCAACAGCTATTAAATGCACATGTGTGCACAGTCTGGCCTACTCAAAAAAACATGTTTTAGTCTGTTTTCAGTCGTACAAATGGGTATCTCTCATACCCTCACGTCTAGTCGCACGTTTAAGAGGAAGCCAGAAGCTGGAATGTAAACATTAAACTTGTTTCCGTCCGGTTGCGCACGCACCTCCCTATGACATGTCACAAATCTCTCAGCGCGCCTCTGAGCTGGTCGCTCGAGAAAGTCTTTCGCGGTAGATTATCGCTTATCTACAGTTGTTCTAATAAAGTAATAATAATAATATGTCTTACCTGTAGACTCCTGGAATGTAATCCTTGGTAATCCATTGTTGTGTTCAACCCGTGTTTCGCTGTTTGACAGTGATTCTACACGTGGCAATATGTCGGGCATTTGTGCCTCGTGTCAACGAAAACTGTCTAAAGTGGACCCTCACAAGTATTGTCCTTCCTGCATCATTAAGGACGGGTTTTCAACGTGTTCAAGGGATAAACGTTGTAAAGAATGTGAGAACTTGTCTTCAATAAACTTTAACTTGTATCTTCGTGCGTTGGCGAAGCGGGCCGCTGACCAGCGCTACAAGCAGAGAAGGACATCGGTTGGATCCTTGGACTCTGCACCCTCCACATCAGGCCCTGGGGGTGGCGGGTCGACCACTCCTAAGAAATCAGTTGTTAAAGACCCGCCTCAGCCAACTTCTGTCTTCGACAAGGACCGTTCGCCTGCTGATGATACTACCCGCACGACTGATCTTCGTCAATCGGTTGATCGAGGGCGTTACTCAACCTCCCCTGTTACGACGGGACCGGGTGGTGACGAAGACCATGAGGGGACTACGGTCCCCAGTCGGTCCGTATCTCGTTCTTCCAACGACGATAGGGACGTCGTGCGGGACGACAGTGGACACAGAAGTCGTTCCCGATTACGTCGGGACGACAGGTCGAGTGCCTCGTCGAGAGACAGTACACGACACGTGGGCGTTTATCGCCATCGTGGTCGTCGTAGGTACGATTCGGACGATAACTACGATGGGGATCGTAGTACTTCTACAGTTAGAGATCGTAGCCCTTGTCCCCACGGGGACGTGCGACGTTCTTGCAGGGAGAGTTTGGGGGTTCAGCGTCGTAGTGAAGATAGTGACAGAACGACGACCTAGTCTCACTTTCATATCGACCCGGCTTTGATAGCCCAGATCACGGCGGCGGTTCTCGCCTCGACGGCGTCGACCAAGAAGGACACGACTACGTCGGGGGTCCATGGCCCGTCAACTAGTACACCAGCTCCTTCATCTACGCCTCCACAATCGACGTCGACGATGGATTGTGACGACAGCCCTCCTAGGCCTCCCAAAGACATTGAGTTGTTTGCTTGGCTATCTAACTTTCTACCTGAGTTATCACAAGACGATGACAAACCGACGCGTGCGGGCTTTAAGGTCGGAGATACACCACAGTCTCTTCAGTTTTCTCCTCCCGATATCTTCAGAGCCATGGCTCACGATATGGACCAGAACTTTGCCTCTGCTCTGCCTGGACAGAGCTTCTGCAAGCCGCCTGGTCGATTTCGTTACCCGATCTATGGCATGCCGTTTTCACTCTTCAAGAAACCAGCGCCCTCCAAAATTCTTGTTGAAGACAGGCATTTGGAATCCATGGACTCTGCTGTTCGTCACCAGCTACAACCGCTTGCTATGCTGTCGACTGCGATCGAGGCACTCTCAGTGTACTTTGAGGAGAAAGAACCCCAGGACGAGGACGGCAGGACGGTGCCATCGGTCCTCTCCTGTATGCAACGGTGGATCTCGGACGTCCTCGCTCAGTCCCGATATGTGTCGGGTCAGATTACTACGGCACGTCGCCATGGTTACATCGACTGCACTGACCTACCTGATCGTCATGGCAGGTCACTCCTACGGGCCCCGTGGTCATCGCAACAGTTGTTTGACGGTCATACCAACGACGTTCTGGACAAGTACTCCAGGGAAGCCGAGCGTGACATCATCATTTCGGCTTCACACAACATGTCCCGACGGCCACCGGTTTCGAACGCCCCAAGACGACGTTACCGAAACGAGAATGTGCAACGGGCCTTCCGTAGGGACGTGCCTCGACAGCCGTTCCGCAAGAGAGATTCCGACAGGAAAGGTCGCCAGGTCTCCTTTTCCAAGTATCCCAGAGGGGGAAAGGGCCAGCGGGGGAGGAAGTGAGGTCCCTTCCCCCGCAGTCGCCGTGGTTGGAGTCCCCCCCGGTGACACTACCTTTAGACGAGCTACCGGTAGGGGGGAGACTTCATCACTATGCCCACAAGTGGGTTTTCCTCAACGACCCTTACGTTCAGAACATTTTGACAACAGGCTACGCCCCACGCCTGAGATCGACGCCACCACTGACGTCATCCCCGACATTCCACATTCCACCAACGGATCGGCTGACGGAGGCCATCGATTGTTGGTGGAAAAGGCGGCCGTACTTCGCCTAGGGACATAGGCACCATCGCCGGGGTACTACTCACCCATCTTTCTAGTACCCAAGAAAAACTCCACAAAGATGCGGCTTATTTTCAATCTCAAAAAGTTCAACGCAACATACCTCCAACCACCCGACACATTCACCATGATATCCCTCAGCTCTCTGCGTCGGATGATATTACCGAACGACTTCCTCGTCTCGATAGACCTTCAGGACGCGTATCTACATGTACCAATAGCTTCCGAGTTCCAGAAGTACCTCCGATTTGAATACCAAGGTATTCATTACCAGTGGGCGGCCCTCCCGTTTGGAATTTCTACGGCCCCGTGCATTTTCACACGGATCATGAAGACGGTCGTAGAATGGCTCCATCGGCAGGCGATCAGGGTCGCCTTCTACCTAGACGACGGGCTCCAAGCTCACCAATTCACAGAAGCCCTTCAAGAGAGTTGGCGACCACCCTGAGTCTACTACGGTACCTCGGGTGGATCGTCAACTTTCAAAAGTCAGACTTGGTACCAACTCGGGATCTACAGTACATTGGGATACGCTTCCAGACGGGAGTCAATCTGGTCATGGTACCTCAAGACCGTTGGGACAAGATTGTCAGCAGCGTTCCGAGACTTCTACATGCCCCGGCGTCGGTGCACACGTGGCAGGAAGTCCTCGGTCTGTTGACATCGGCCCAAGACCTGACTCGCCGAGGTCGTCTTCAACTTCGTCCGCTGCAGAGATTGCTGTACCCCCACCTGGAGTTTCCCAATCTCCTGGTTCCACTTCCGGCGCAGCTACGTTGTCATCTGGAGTGGTGGCTCCAGCCGTCGAACGTTTGCGAAGGCGTCTTTATGAGCGAGCCTCCGTTCATACTACACCTATTCGTAGACGCGTCATTGGAAGGCTGGGGAGCACACTTCGGGGACGACCAAGCGGCCGGGCTGTGGTCGCCAGTAGAAAAGGTCCTCCACATCAACTGCCTCGAGATGGAAGCAGTGATTCGGGCGGTCGAGTTCTGGAAACTTCGACTCCGTCGGAAACGGCTGATGATACAGTCGGACAACTCCACAGTCGTCCACTGCGTCAGCAAACAGGGAACGACTCGGTCGGCGGCCCTTCTGGACCGGACATTCAGGTTCTTCGCCCTCGTCGACGACTTGGACATGGGCGTACGCGCCC